ACCCTAAATTTATTTTGAGTTTTTGGTCTTCAGGTCTACCTTTATTACTATGTGCCTTTATATAGCGAAAATTCAAATCTTAACCCGGCTATTTTATCCAGTCTTTGTCCAGGAGTCTCATTTATTGTCTTGGGGTCAAACACGAGAAGATACCATACCTCTCTCGGTATTTTTTTTTTTGTTACTCGTTGGCAAGTAGGTGGAAATCAGATTAAGAATTATTGCCAACGAGGATTTTCTTCTTATTTTAAACTCACGAGTTTGTTTTTTTTTGTAATAAATTGTAAATTTACTATTTTTAATACTTTCCTTTCTTGTAAAGTGAAGACTTTCTTAAATTTTTTTTCAAAATCTTATTTCTTTACTTCTAATGTATTTAATAATAAATCTATGCTTTTATGCCTTAATTGTTAGAAGAGTTAGCTATCAGACATTTGACATCTTTTTATTAATGTTTATATATACCTCTCTCTTGTATTTTGACTACTTTTCACATTTCTTTGGCGCTAATACTGTGTATCATATGTGGTTTTGAGGTGTATTGTGATATTCTTTGAATATTTGCATGTTTGTAAATGATATTTTGTATTATTTTGTATCTCCACGCTTGTTAATGCCTTTGTTTTACGTGCTATTTTGGGCCATTTAACCCATAACGGTTAATATACCGCTAAACCGCTAAACAAAATCAGCCAATCAACATGAAAGAACATTAATCCATATAATATCCTGCAATTTCTTAAAGAACTTAAACTGCACTCCAAAATATAACTTAAATAAAAACTACAAAAAACTCATATCAATCTAGTAAGACATGTATAAGCACACAGACATGTATAAGCACAAAAGCTGAGTATCATCTACCATGTATTCAACTGTGAAAGCAGAGTAACATATCATAGTTTTATTACTTCAGATCTCCCAAGAAAATTAAATTTCGTTATTAAATGACCCATAAAATACCGTTAAACAAATCACTCATAAGAACATTAGCTTTCCTTTAAGATTCCAACATCCAGCTTTAGGACTGTTCCACAAGGCAATAACTTAGAAGATTAAAGCGTTGGTTCAGGAATTTGGTGGAATATTAATTATGAGTTCAATACCTAGAATGGTCAGTGTAGACTTAAGGGCAGTGGAAACAGGGCAAGCAATAATATCAATGCTAATGACGATGCGATATGACGAGATATCCTTGGAAATAACGGAATGAGAATAATTTACTTCTGTAGATTAAATAAACGATTCAGTTCAAAATTCCTTGAAGTTTACCTAAGATAAACTAATGACTTTTTTTGCTATTTGTCATATTCTTGAGACCAACTTTTTTCTTTAATTATTCAGTTATCGAAATTAATTTCGGATCATATTATAAATTATAATATTTTGTATAAGAAATGTTTCTAACTTTATAGTGGCATGAAATCTGCAAAGAAAGTCAAAATAATAGATAATAAGTTTAGTGTTTTAAACAGGATCTGTTATAAAATATTTAATAAGATCAAAGAAACAAAAAGGAAAAAAGAAGAAAAGAAAAAGTCAACTGAATTTTATTTTCTTATATAGAGTAAATTCAGTACAACTAGTAAAGATCATTTGGTATTTCGAGGTGTATTGAATCTATTGTCCAAATTTTTTTATGTTCATTCAGATAGCTAAGATAACAACAACTATCTTGTGTCGGTAACCATTAAGAAGAAAAATGATTTCTGAATGTTTTGCACATCATAACATAATAAATATTTCGTATGCGATTAAAAGAATTTCTACGTAAACCATCAATCAGAACAATAATTCCCTCAAAATATAATTATAAAAGTAATGCTTCGCAATTAGTCTTCTAAAATTAGATTTGTTTTACTGAAAGTCGATGATAGAAAATAAGCATGTGAAAGATTTAACACCAAAAGGCTTAGAAAGAAGGGGGAGGGGTCAATAAATACATCATTTTTGTTTCAAGATCTTTCTCATAGTAAGAAGATAAAATGGAAAAATCAAGGAAAAATATTTTATGTGTTCATTAAAAGAACGGATATGTTCCTGATCAAATCCGATGTATTAACAGTAATAATACGGAACACATTTTTCTAATATATAAAAGTGCTTCGTGAACGTTTGTTACAACAGAGGTGTTTCTAATTGAAAGATTTTCAGATGTTTTACAGTTTTCATTATTATACCAAGTTGAGAATTGGGGCAATCAGTTAACTTTAATTTAATTTTTTTTTTAACTCAATCAATTCATAGAATGAATGAATACTCGGCATGAGGCTGATATCCTGCAACCGTTATATTAATTAACAAAAAATTTTGGTGGGTATTTCGTCTTGGACTTGTAGTTCATTTGTAATGAGTTTGATTCTCACTGGGTGCTCCACACTTGTAACCTTCATAAAAAATCCTATTCTGATAGATTTTTTTCAAGATACTTGGATTTTTATTTAAGTCTTCTTTTCTTAACAAAACAATTTTATTTCTAAGTATAAAAATACAAGTAAAACTAATATCATTTTATCTTATGATTTTTCGCATAAGATAAAATGTTTCCATGCCTTATCAAATAATACAAGAATATTTTAAAACTAAATTCGAATTATACATACTTTTTTTTAAAAAAAAGTACTTTGATATTGAATTAAAAATTATTTTCTTAAAAAAGCGTCTGTAATTAAGATAAAAACGATATGCTTTAAAGACTGATTTTTGTTGCTGATGACTTACTCTGATTCGCTCAATCATAAACAAATGTACAAAATACTTTCTAAATATATTCACCAGTGTATATATTTACATACGCATGCATACCCCCAAACATCACATACTTTAATTTATTTTAGCTAATTGATATCTATATTTTAATATGTCGATTTAGGTTCACTGTATTTTAAGGTTGAAAATTGTAATTTGAATTTTTGGTTGCAGATAATTATAAAATATAGTAAGACTAAACGGTCTCAATCATTGATATATTTTGCTTCAGCGCAATAAAAATTTCTGAATCTGGGACACCATGTCATACACCAACATATATTGCTATATATTATTTCTGTGATGTCATTGTAATGGTCATCGTTACTTCAAGTTTCCGTTATTACAAAAGATAAAAAAAATGCTTAGAAGGGATCAAAGAATTTTCGATGAAGATTTCAGTTTACATTGGATAAAAGAAAAAATGCTTGCGTTGTCATGCAAATATATATACATAACTACATACACATACACGCATTTAAAGTCTGCATCTCCATACATACACATTACATGCATATATATACTGGACCTTTTTCAAAATAAAAAAACATCATTGTTGAAATTTTTTAAATACACTGTGTTTATTTAAACTTTCGAATACAATGTGTTTATTTAAGGCATAACATATAGGAAAAAGCATAGTAATAACATGAATCATAAGTGCATATTCACGAAAGTTATTTTAATGAATTTAGTGAAGATTGTTAGAAAGAAAAAGAAACTTTCGTAAAAGTGTTTTGAATTTTTTTTTTTTCTAACTTACTGACTAGATTAATGTAAAGCTCTTCATTCACTATTATAAGGACACATACAAAAATTTAGTACATCGAATAATGAAGAGAAATTTATACTTCGTCATCAAAGTTAAATTGGATCTGCGGAATGAAACTATGTTTACTAAAATTTAACGACTTTCTCATTCAGTTTCAATCATTTTACAATCTGCTTGAGTGTACATTTTAATAATAAAAATATTTTGTTCTAAAATATAAAAAATATGCTAAGCTGACTGTACTTATGTATCCCTAGATATATGCATTTATTAAAGTTACATCAATCTTGATTTTTAAGTCTACTCCAATAACTATCAATGTTAACATTTATACTTCTTCTCCTTGTCGTCATTCAAGTGACAATAACAGATAAAAGACCACGGTTATTTTTAGAAAGTAGTTGTCTTTGTAGATAGAAATGATCTTCATTCGACTAATTTACCAATTTTTACGGACATCCTAAGTTAAGGCACCTACGGGCAAACATACGAGCAAACACACACACGCGCACATACACACATACATGCGTGCGTACGCGCCCGCACGTATGTACGTACGTATGTAAGAACTAAAAAATAGGACAACTTTTGATAGGTTGCTAAACTTATCAAACATATTTCCAAGTACTTTGGGAAATAACGCCTACTTACACACATACTGTTTCTTACACAAACACGCACACATACGCGTGCGTGTAAATCTAATTATGCGCAGTCGGACGTTCTTCACTGTATTCATGTCACACGGAGTCTTGTTTTAGTACTTACGTAGGCTTTTCCGACGCTACTAGTCAGAACCGCAATCTTTACAATATATATGTGTACTGTACTGTATGTAGGTATATAATTTTATATCGCAACGTAAGTTGAGCTGCTAACACTACATACTGAAAACATCAGTTCCAGGAAGTATTTCATTTTTATACTGCTAAGACTTGGGATGGGAATGTTTAAAGAGTAGAAAAACACAGAGGGAAAGAATAGGAGCGTAAGAGAGAGAGAGAGAGAGAGAGAGAGAGAGAGAGAGAGAGAGAGCAAACAAAAAAGAATGCGAGGGAACATAGAAGTTATACAAAAAGTTCTCAAATAGAAACTACACATTTCAAGCAAAATTGAAGTTTTAAAGAAAAACTTTTAAAAGACATCTACGTTTAAAACTTTTTTCATTGTTCTTTAAGAAGATAGAGTAAACATTTACAGATCTTCCCCACACATCTATCGATCTATCTATCTATCTACAAATATTATAAAAACTTACCCTGCAGAAGGGGCATACATTTTACAGACTCACAATATTACCATCAAGTACGTATAAACACATAAACCAACAGTTTGAAAAGCTCATTTCAAAAATAAAATCTATACATTTTTACATCAACAAATGAATGACTTAACAGAGATCTACATGTATCTATAAAACTTATTAAACAAAGAAGATTTTGAACCACGAGGATTATTTTCCCAAGAAAGACAGGATACCATGGTTCCATTCAGTTTTATCCTGTTGTTAATTCAAGTTGGATCCATATTGGTTAGTAAACTGATATGTTATTGTTGTTATTATTATTATTGTTCTTATTATTTCGATTTGCTGATTCGTATTTCATTTGCCTTTTGCGAAAGAAACCTACAAAACCAAAGGATTTTCCTTCATGTTCGTGATGATGCTTTATTAGTATTTCATGAGAAATATTTATATACTGTTTTTATCCTTAGAAAGTATGAACTATTTTCATTGTTTATGGCAATCTGTAGAAATGAAGATTTGCTGTTTTATTTAAAACAGCAGATCTTCTTTTCTGTAATTTAAAAAGTTAATAATTATTTTATTTTCTAAAAACAATTAAGTTTGTATTAATTATTTTATCCAGTATTCATGCAGCAAGAAAGCTATATTCTCTCCTCACATGAAGTTCACAGACTGGTTACCATGCAAACTATGTATAAATGTAAAGTATTTGAGTTTGTTCCTGCTATCTTTGTATTAAATAGAGAATTCAGACATTATCAAAATTGAGTGCTAAAATGCTGCCTGTTATTCAGTGTTGTGATGGAGCGGCAACTATGAATTTGTCATTTCCCTCGTACTTTGTCATTTCTAGTTCACAGAAAATCTATTATGTGTATGATTTTATGCCGAGATTTTACAGCTATTGATTGAATGTTAATATTTAATAATATATATATATATATATATATACATTACATACATACATACATACATACATACATATATATATATATATATATATATATATATATATATATATATATATATATATATATATATATATATATATATATATATATATATATATATATATATATATGAAATATATTCAGGAATCCATCGATTAGTGCAGATAATGTGTACATCGGTAACTATAAAAAATCAATGTTCATTTACTATGGTTAAACAGAAGAATGTTAATCCGCACTAATATTATGTATGCAATAATCGAATTTTGGTATATAAAAAAAAAATTAGCGCACTAATCGAAAACGCATTAATCGATGCCTATATATATATATTTTTCGTTTTCGATTAATGCGCTATATATATATATATATATATATATATATATATATATATATATAAAATATATATAGATTCGTAGACATACTGTTGTTGTCTGCATGATAATTTGTTTATTTCAAGGCAAAAATAAAGCTATCATTTTTACTGATAACAGTTTAATCCTCTTTGGACACATGCTTATAGAATAATGGTCAGGAACCTCAACTGATTATTAAAAGTGAGTTTTATCCTCTCTGGGTGGTTCATACTTGTGACCTTTTGTAAAAACAAAGCCATGATTAGTAAATAGCAATATATTAACAATACCGAAAATAAATTAGGGAAGCGTGATCAATGGTTACTCAAAGAAAATTGAGTCTAAGAAAATGCTGGTGTCAATCACAGTCGAAAAAGGGCGCGAACAACAGCTGTTCTTGAGCAGTTTTTCAGTGGCAGTAATCTTGAAGATATATGTTCTATGATGAGATAATATAAACAAAGATAAAAGAAGGTCTATGCTGTCTAACTTTTCTCATAACATTTCTCCATACGATTTTCGAGTAGTTTGCTATTATTCGCAAATATTCAGCTTCATGATAAGCTGAATAGCACACGTAAATTTGGAAACCATTAGTTTTTCTTGCTTTTATTATATTTTAATTTTCACAATAAGTAGCAAAAAAACAACAAAAAAAAAACAAACAAATAAACAAACAAAAGAAAACAAGAGCAAAATATAAGAATAAGAAAACAAGAATACAGAGAGTGGAAAGATAAGAATGATAAATAAATACTCAGATAGCTTTCCTTATGGAACCGGTACACCGGCCGGTGAAATCATCCATCAATTTTTACATTTTGTTTTTCTTTTCTTCTCTGCGATTTTCTTATTTCTTAATTTAATTCCCTTTTACCTGGAAATGAGCAGTGTTATAATTTCTAGCTGTTCGGTAAGCGACGCTTCCAGCCACATAATGAATACTTATGTATGTTTGTAGATACAATATTTTATAGACACAGTTTTAGATTTTTATTCGTAGTATTTTAGATGGTTATTCCATGAGATAAGAAATCGTCGGTGTTTTATGATATTTATAACAATGAGAATTACCTGATGATAGTCATCTCTTCTCCAAATAATAGTTACAAAATTTTTTAATTAAATAATGTCATAATTTTATTGCATTTTTTATTTTATAATTCAGAGCAGATTTTCTGTGACTGGGTGAACTATTTTACAAAAAAAAAAAAAAAAAAAAATTATTTAAATTCTCCAAGGAGTCCTGCTTTTGACTACTAAAACAAATTTTGGTATTGACATTTAATTTCTCGAAATTTCATGAAAAAAAAAAAAAATTACCAAGATTTTCTAAAAAAAAAAAAATTTCAAAAATAATTTCATTCATTCGTGAATAAGTCCTGGTACTTCTATTTATCCATAAATTATTTTTATATTTTTTTGTTATTTCTTTGACTTATCTTTATTCGTCTCTTTGTTGTTAGGTCTGACTATCTATTCCTGATGCTATCATTTTGCCTCTATATTTGTTGCAGCCAATTTTATATCAGTTTGGCTTGGTAGATTTTTTAAATACTAAAAATTTAAAATGAGTCAGGGTTACTGTTTGTTGTAATTTAAAAGAAATTAATTTCTTAATATATTTATTTAAATCCAAAGAATAGGGCATTTCTTATTGATTTTAGTTTGTACGAATGTGAAAATCCGCGTACATATTTTATCGAATACAAAATAATGCAACATGATTTGGGATAAAATATTCTGATTTGTACAATATTTAAAATAATATAACATTTAACAAATAATAGCATTTTCTTTTTTTATCTACTGCATACAATGTTTTATATAGGAATAACATTTTATCAATGTCTCTGAATACAAATTAGCAGATTTACATAATACATATACATATTGCTAATTGAAAAATACCATATGTTTGGGTATTATATTTCAATTGAATACGTTTGAATATTGATTTTCGGTCAGAGTCGCGAGAAAATGAACACTGAAAATCTGTTTCTATGTCACTCAGTCTTTTACGATGCCTTGCAGGATATTTCACAGATCTCTCGAAATCACTCCACCATAAAAAATGAACCTCATTATCTATTTGATAATCTCTCTTTCATTGAAGAAATACATTTTGAACTTTAAATTTCCTTTACTTTCGGCTAGTCTTTCGTCGGATCAAAGTTAGAAGACCGAAATAATTAACGTTCTATTTTGACCAGACATGTACTGTCACCGTAGCAGCAGTAGTGTGTATTGGGGAAGCTAGCCTGATGGAACCCAACCATCTCCAAGCTGGATTGAATACATTTTCTTCTCCAACATTGGTTGCCAACCAAGGCTATAGAGCCAGGTCTGTCCTGCTATTTAGCTGGAAGGAAAAGAGATGGATTCATACTTTTCCCAAGGGTATTTGCGCCTAAGTGAATGTAACAAACGCTACTGGAATTCTCTCTGATTTCTCAATCCGAGCCACTATCCATTACACCACAATTTCCTCAGGGAAACTTACAGAATTATTTCTTTCTTTTTTTTAAATCTTCTAAACTTTTGTTTTTTTTTAAATCAGAGTTTACAGAATTAAAATTAATCTGAGGAGAATAAGCATTTTATAAAGTTTGAAATAAATTTCCATGTTATCAAAATGTTATAAAATCTTCATATGAGTTTGTGTGTGTGTATGTGTGTGTGTGTGTACTGAACTGTTAAAAAATCATAGGCTGTTTCGCCATTTCTGAATTGTAGAAATGTGTTCAGGTGGGTGAGGTAATAAAGAGGCTGCAGCGCACATAACATTGACGGCAGAATAATTTGTTGGGATCAGAAAGATGGGGCACACGATCTCAATTGCTCTAGGTTTTAACTGGTAACATTAGTAAGGCCAATCAAAAAATATGTGGATCCCATACAGGCATCAGAAACACGTGAAAACTAAGAGTGCTCACCGAACTGGACTACCACTGAATGACAAGATCAGTAATCAGTCAATAAAGTGGGCATAGCATCAGATCACATCGAAATTTAACATTGATGCTGCTCAATACATAAACCTAAACTGCATTTCATGTGGTCTTGTAGACGTCGGCCAACAAGCGTGATATATATTATTGACACGACAGCATTGGTTACTGTACATTATCTTGGATAGAAAACATCGCCATTGGTCCATGGGCTGACACCGTATTGCCTGGATAGATGAGTTCAGTTATTTGCTCTTTTGATACGACTTCCTGATCTGAGGAAATTGTATGAGGTTATGAATCCAGCCTGTCAGACGGATGTTATATTCAAGCTAGCAATGGCTTTGTAATTGTTGAGATTTTTAAAGACCACTGGTTAAACTGGAATCTCTTTTCATTTGTGACATATACTGATCTTGTTGCATAATATTTAATTCCTTTAACCCATATTTCCCATTGTTTGTTCTAGCAATATAGCGTAATACTCATATCATGGACAGGTTGTATTCAGAAATGAAGTGTTCTTTTAGATTATCATAGTCGGCTTCGCTGTTAGTTGCATAATACTTTTATTTACGCGACAAACGTTTTTGTTCCACAATCAATAGTTTCCTAATGAGTGGTATTTGAAGGAGATAACCAGCAGTTGTTATAAAAATATGGGAGTTGGAAAAGATTCAGTGAAAGATTAAATCACAGACACGAGAGGAATGTATTTTGGGTGTAAAGAAGCCTGGTAAATCAAAGCTGAATAGTAGATATTTGGTTCCAGGCATCAATGCTTGGGCAGCATGGGTTTTAACGTATGGTGCAGGTATTGTTGAATGGATCAAAGAGGATCTAGCAAACTTGGACCGAATGACAAGGAAAATAATGACCATGAAAATAGGTGATTACATCATAGGGGTAATATGACTGGCATTTAGCTATGCACAAAAGACGGCGGAAGATAGGGGTAGTAGAGCATGTAACATCATGTAAGTTCTTGCATGAGTACTTACAAAATTCTAATTAATCATGAAACATTGATACCTTTTTTTTCACCATGGGAACTAATTTTTATCGAACTGATTCATATTTATTCTTTCAGTTGTGAAATCTGAATAAAGTGGAATACTTAGAATAGTTTTCTTATTTAATATTTGCTCGGAATTGTTTAAAAGTTACAATGATTTTGTAGTGATAGATAAATAAAAAGTTCACTATTTCAAAAATAAAAATAATAAAAAAAATACAAAGCTAATAACAGGCAGTAAAAATAGTAAAAGACAAACCAATTCCTACTGGTTTCTTTTAAAAAAAGAATGTCAATGAGGCAACAAAAATATTCTGACTTTGACAGGGAATTACTAGCTGCTTACTTGATAGTCTTGCATTTTACACCAGCTGGAATATAAGGATTGATTGAACGGGTACATCGCACTCTAAAAATTGCAATTATTGAACAGGAAGGAATTGTGGTTATCAGCTCTACTTTATTGTCCTACTTGGACCGATGAATCGAATCACTCGCCACTTAACCGCTGAAACAGGAGTTATTGCAGAAGTCCCTCGAATATTAATAGATACTAACAAAGACAATGAGGAAACTCAAATATCAAATTCACAAACAAATTTGAGTCTGACAATCTATCTCACGGTCATCTGCATTCATTACCGAATTCGTATATTCAAAATATGTGTGCTTACGGACCAACAGGTTGCGAAAACCTCTGGAAGCTCCGTACACGGGTTCATTTAAGCTATTAGATCGGAGCCAAAATACCGTGGTCTGGTAATCGTGGTCGGACTGGTCGTGTCGACGCTTGCAGTTGAGGTGCAGACGTTTCGGTCGTGTCGACGGTTGGAAAAAGAATGCGGACATTCCAGTTACGTTGACGGTTTGGAGTCGAGGTCGACGACGGGATGCTGAGGTGTGTTCGTTCCGGTCGCGTCAACGGTTGGACGTTGAGGTGCAGGCATTGCTGGTCGAGATCGGTGTCGAAACCTCCCGAAGTAACTACAACCGATAGTATAGGGGAAAGGTTGGTCGATGCTGGTCGCTGCAGGTGATAGCTGCTGGTCGTTGTAGCTGATCGCCGCTGGAAGATCGTTCGCCGCTGCAGGTAATTGCTGCTGGTTAGCCGGTCGGGCACCGGACTGGACGTGTCGGGCAAGAACGGGGAGGTGACGTTGCGATGCAGTGCTCAGTATCGGCGACGGTATCTGGTCAGTGCCGTGAAGCTGGTGTTGCGATGTTGTTGGGCATATCGAATGTCTGGTGCTGGCATTGCGTGTCTACTGGTTGAGTTCGATATCGAAACCTCCCGTAGTAATCATAAACGTAGTAGTGTACGCGAAATATTATGGACGACGTGAGGGCAGCCAGTAGGGACGGATTACCAAGAGTCGAAGGAACCCAGAATAAAAATAGAAGTAAAAAGAAAGGTAAATCTAACTCGCGTCCAGTTGGCAGACAAAAAAATGAGAGCGTAACTTAATACGCAGCCTGGGTCGGCGTCCTGACCACAAATGCCAGGAGCCTGCGTACCGATCCCGAATTCGTCGAGAAGTCGCTGTGTTAGGTTAAGGGAGACCAACAACAGACACGGTCTCACAAAAATGCTAAAGAATCTCTCTAAAAATGAGTTGAGATTTGCTATGAAAAAACAAAGGTCTAAAAATGCTAAGAGGTGTATTACGACTAGGTTTGTAACACAAACGGAACTAAAAAGTAATTAGCTCAATTCTAAAAAGGAAACTGAGATTGTGTTCGCTACACGCTGTGTAATTTAACACAGCGTGTAGGGAACACAATCAAAAAGATCAAGGTCGAAATGCACTGTTCTCTTCCGTTTTAGGGAGCGGCCAAAGGTGACCGCGACAAGGCCCTCTTCCTATATAATTGATCGTATTCAATTAGAAAGAACAGAAAAATATCTATATTTACAGTGTGGCAAAGTGCCAAAGGTGGTCGCAAAATGTTAAACATACCTCGTTTGTATTGTGTCACCATATCGTCCAGCCCAGTTCAGATCACGTCGGGGTCACCAATTTGTAGCGGACCTCCTTTCAAGGGGGTCCGCTACAGACACAAAAAAGTACAATGTTTGACAGTGACGAACAAGCAAAAGGACCAGCAGCTGAAAGAATTTGATCCACTGTCCCATTTCCTAAAGCTTGGGATACCTAAAAATCTCACAGAGTGAGTCGAAAGAATTACTGCTATCAATAAATACTCTAACAGATTAGAAACTTTCAACAGGCGAACTTTCTGATAGGAACTTATAAACTCTTTGAATATTGTATGTTTTATTTTAAGAGATATAAATTTTTATCAGTACATGCAATATATATCTTTGTAATTATTACCTTTGCATAATTGGTGTATATTTGGATTAAGGACGTTATCCGAAGATAACCACCAGTAAACAAGTAAACCCCTACTTTACATTACAAACCTACAGACTTCCACAATTAAACCGGCACAAAACCGCATAAAAATTGCATATTTCAAATATACTGTTATAGAGCAACATTTAGAGTTCTATTTACGAATAAGCTTGCATATTATGCGCATGTTAATGATTTCATGTTACAAAATACACAATTGTATGTTTTTAATAAAAAAAAGAACATATCACTAAAGCAAAACCAATCAAAAATTGCCTTATGCTGTTTGTATTTGGTAAAAGTGTTATTTGAGCTCGAGAGGTTTTATCGCAACCTTACAGATTACTTATTTATGTGTATAATATTTATGTATTAAAGATGATAAAATAAAACGGATAAATGTGTACAAAGCATTCATTTAGGGTAGTACCAAATGTTGTAATAAAAAATTGCCAGCCAAGAATGCTAAGTCAATCATGATATGGATACAACTAACGATCAGTTTCATTAACCGACAGTTTCATCATGGATGTCCATCGCATGAGTTTTCAAGAAGTTCATTTTAACATTTAAAGTAATTAATTTTATTAAAAGTAATTATATTTATATTTTATTAATTTTAAGAGTTTATAATTATTGCTTTTATTTTTTTTTTAACTTTGATAGGTTTCCTCCTTAACTGCCAAAGACCAGATTGGTAAGTTTGATCATATTCAATTATGTTTCTTAACTGAATGCTTATGGAATTATATGTCAGATGTTATCTGATTGACGGAAATCTTGATGTTGCAACCAAAGAAAAATAAACTTTTTTTTATATAAAAATCATCCTATCAGCAAATATGGGAAATAGTTATTTTACTTTTTACTCGATTTAACTACGTCAAAGGTTTCCCCAATTTTATTTAAAAATAAAAAACACATTAAAAAATGTATTTTTATAACATGTGTAATCCGCATCAGTCAGTGCGAGTTAAATGTCAATTTGGGTGTGTAAGGTGGTATTTGTGTCATCGGTGTCACAGCATTAATAACACGTAAGAACGGATATTTCTTTTGTTTCAACGAAATTCTTTTGGAGTTATTTTGTAAAGATAATTATTTTTTGCTAGTTTCATATCAAAGATTTATTCTTTGAGTTTTTATAATTAATGTTAACCAATTAAAATTGAATAAAAAGAGCGATACATTTAAAGTGATCAAGGAAATATTTTTAAAGGGATAGAAACTAAACAATTTCAATGATCTCTTATTAAATTATAGTGAAGAAAAATGTCTTTTATAGGACAAATGTACTTTCTAGTAGTAAATAAAATGTTTAAATGTTTTAATAATACGCATTAAATAAGAAAAATGTTGTAGTTCTTAGTGTCTTCAAATATATGAATAAGCAAATGTTTGTTTTCTTTATGAGTATCATGTCCCGCTTACCAAATCAGCTACGAAGAATATTATTCGTCTGTTAATATCTATGTTGAAAGTAGATTTGGACAAAGTTTAACTGAAATAAAAAAAAATAGTCTTAAACTAAAACTTTCTTATGAAAGATGCAGACATTCTAACTTTTCTGTATTTCATTTTTTCTCGATAGTGTGTACATTTTTGTAATAAAGAGATCGAAATAATTTCAAGAGGAAATTTGTGAGTGGCTTAACGAAATAAAAAAAAATATATTTTGTCATCTAAATTATTATTATTAAAAATTATATTTTGTTCTCTTTTGACGTTATTTTGTATAAACGAAAAGCAATTAACTAATTCAATATGAAAGACGCACGAAGTTAAATTTCATTATGTAAGTCAATGTTTTCGTAATAAATTAGAAATAAACTCAAAAGATGTTGGTAAAATTTTCAGGCTATACGTATTTATATGAGCAATATATTATGTACGTTTCAATTTTATTGAAAGTATTTATAATGACTTACTTTTAGGAGTGTCAGGTTTTATTATATAAACAAATTGCAACATAGATTTTTATTTGTAAACAAATCCAAAAGATATATATCTTTTTGAATTTGTTTATAAATAAAAATTTTGATTAAAATAAATAAAAAATAAATAAAATAAATTGTTTATAAATAAAAAATTTTAATTAAAATAATAATAAAACATATTTGATTAACAAAATATCACATATATACTTGAATAAATTATCATTTTATTTTACATGTTAATATAGGCAACTTGACAGTTTGTAACTTCATTGTTTTTATTAACTTTGCTACTGTTCAGAAAGTATGTAGTTTTTTATCGTTTGCCACAGAAATTCTTCAGTTGAATATTTTCCGTTCTTTTATAGATCATTTTTAATGATGGCTCACATGTTTTCTTTGGATTAGTATCTGAAGAGACGTTTTCCGTTAATTTCGTATTTTTTGGTGAGAAAGCCTTTGCAGAATGAGAAAGAGCATTAGCTTAAGACCTTTTGTTTATGACTTCACCAAGAGCTTGCAATAATTCTTTGTATTCATCTTTATGGGATCATAAACTCTGAAGAGGCTCATAATCTAAATATGTACAATATTATTACAAACATATTGTACTCACTCTTTTCTTGTTTTCTAATTTGTGTTGATGACTCTTTTCATAAAAAACCCAACGTCTAGCTTAGCCATCAAGTCTGTTTGATGTAGTTCTATATTTATCAATAAAAATACTTTTTAGAAACCATTTTTAATTTACTTCTTTGACCAACTTACATGTCTCTTTTTAAAAGTGGTAGTTTGGTTGCATTAATGTTTTCATCAATATTCTTAATATTCTGCATATTTTCTCTGTTTACCACTTCAATGCCAGCTTGTTGATCAATTCTCATGCTGATTACTCCCGTTTGATTATTACCTTTTAATTTTTTTAAAACTATTTTTAGAAAGTCATTATTTTTTGTCCTTATCTTGCCAATGTTTTCAATTTCTTTTTTATTGTTTTATGGTCTCTTTTCAAACTTTTTGACATTTCCATTTGTTACCCCATCACTTAATAAATTTACAATATTTTGTTTCTTTTTTGAGGTTATATATTTCTTATGAAAGTCTTTACTTATTTGAAAAATATACAAATAATTATATTATGCATATATTTACAAAACGAGATGGACACTTAAATTGCATAATAACAACTCATTCCACCAAATAAGTTGTATTGTAAAATATAGTCTCTTTCTTCTACATCTTGCTTTTGTTGTTTTGTACATTTTTCAAATCTTTTGCTGTCATTTTGCTTTTAGATACTTTGGCAGGCAGTAATTGCTCAATAAAGAGACGCGAATTTGTGATACCGTATGTGACGGATATCCGGGGTCGACCTATCACCTACAAATTACCCAATAAGGGCGATGATGAAGAACACAAAGTGTTCTTGAACGGTGTTCGCATGCAAGCTTATCCTGATTTGCCAAACCAGTTCAATGTAGCCATCCGCTGGCGGCTGAAGGTTTTGAATCTTCTTTTGCATAAAACGGAACTGACGAACTCCAATTCCTTCATTGAATGGACAGAGAACAATGTTACTGGAATAAGGCAGTATATCAGTGAGGAAAATTGCTATTATCAAGGTTTCATTGCCGGAATGGATTCTTCCTTCGTTGCGATCAGTGCCTGCAATGGATTGGTAAGTTTAAAAAAAATAATTTGAAAGAATATTTTGAGCGCCGCAATTATTTTGCTATTATGCAAGAATCTAAAACAAATCTACAGCAGTTGAAAAGTTCTCTGTCCAACCAAGAAGTGACTACAAAAGAATTCTAATGTTTGATAATTTGGACAGATTCTGGGGAGTGAGAACTTTTCAGGAATTATCCAGTAAAATACAATTAAATATATATTAACCTCACTAGTTTAATTTCTCAAAACAGAACGTATTATATTAAAATATAAACTATGTCAATTATTTAAAGTATTCTGCAAATTTAAAGTTATTTACAATTTATAATCGATTTTCTTTTTGATTCTTATTTTTAAGCACTTATATAGAATCAGTAAGAAATTATTATACAATATTATTTTCTAGCATAATATTTTGAGTAAAAATCAAAATATTTTAAAAATTTTATAGTAATCAGACCTATTGTTGGCATGTGAAAAATAGAACTGCAGCCACTGCAAACAATGTCGAAAAGTTCCAACAATCCTTTGTGAGTTGACGCCCAGATTCTCAGTATCCTAATATGGTGCCCTCTATGTAATAATAATTCGCAAGTTAGGTGTAAAAGCTATTGGAAGCCAGTTTGAGCTCTGGTGAGTGCTTCTCAATTATGACCTTGTACCAAACTACGTTTAATAGTTAATGATGCTTAAGGTTTACTTTTAGTGCTGAAATATCGAAAAAAAATGATTACTAAACTGGTTGTGTCAGTGAGGTGACCAGGATCGTATATATGTACACAGATCATAAGTTTCATGTATATTGATATACATTTTTATTCTATATAGCAAATATTGATGTGTTTTTGTATGCATCCACATCAACCAGTTCATATGCAGCAGCTATTGCGGAAGACGCACACGCATAAATGATTGGTATAAAAATACCAGTAAATGCTTAATGAGTATAAAATGCTTTCTCATTCATAGTGTGTTGAAGAATAAATCTAGTTACAAGGAAAATTTCACTTCATTCGTACATACGTAAACAATATGTATACAATCTGGGTGCCTTCTTTGTTCACATGTATGTACCCTTCTCTACATACGTGATCTAAATGTTAACTTTTAAGTGAATATTATTAGGACATTCACTTTTTAAATTAAATTGTTTTAAGGGTCTGGTAGCAATTGTTGATAGAAGTCTCTTCGAAAATTTGTTTATTTGTTTATACCAAAGTTCAATCTTTTGTTAAATCTTCAGATAGTTATCCATGATAATTAGTGTAATATGTAACATGTTACCTTAATGCACTTTTGATTAAAGTGAACATAATTTAATAAAAATGAAAAAGAGAAATGAGACTAATACATTTTTTTTTATCTAATCTCATTCGATCTATTTCTCAAATCACAAATGAATACCATTTTCCATTGGTTTCAATTATCGTATACTTAACATTACCACAATGTTAAAGGTAGATAAACGCTACCTTTTCATTCGGTATGATGTTAATATTACGTTAAATTATCTTTCGAGCATCTAACATTTCTCTTATATTTCTAGACAAAAGTTTTGGATTTGCTGATTTTAATATTTCTTGCAACAGTTGTTTTCAACCAACTGCTGCTACTGTTGTTGCTTTTTGATAGCAACGAGATAAATAGATATTGATTTACAGTTAATTAAAAGAACTTATTAGAATTTGTTATATACTCTATGAGAGGATTAGATAATTTCTTGGTTTTTGTAAAAAGTTATATGTAAAGTCTATGTAGATGAAAAAATTGAATAATAATCAATCAACGTAGTTGGGTAAAACAAAAAGTTAACGATATACAGAGCGCAATTGGTAAATCGTCGCCATTTTATATTTCTAATCTCGCGCATGCGCATTGTTTGTTTTTGATTTTGTTGAATCCACAGTATAGTAGGGTCAGCGTCTATGAGAAAAAGAGCAGCATGACGCATTTCACTCGGCCAAAAATTCGAAAACGGCATGCAGTACTGCTCGGAATTCGCACCGGAAGCTCCAATATGAACATTTCAGTGTGTTTTGGGTGTCAATCTTACGACAGTGCAGAGGATTCGGAAAGAGTTTGATGAGTCTAATTATGATTACGGTACAGCAGCTCGGAAAACTCACTCTAATCGTTATGATAAGAAAAGAACTGAATTTGTTGGTGAGATCCAGGCCATGATTGAAATTGATCCCTCCAAGTCACAATAAGGTCCATATTCAGGAAGTTAGTGCTGCCCTGGGTCAAGAAAATGGCTGCTGGAAGACCGTTGTTTGGCAACATGACATTACACCATACCACACAAGCAGGAGAACCCAGTCATGGCTGTCAGACAATTTCTGCGACCATTTCACCCCTTACATCTGGTCACCTAACTCTCCAGACTGCAACCTCCTTAATTATTATGTGTGGGTCGCTGATGAGCAAAAAACTCCTTGTATTACCAAAGATGAACTAAAGGCAAGGATTATGGCAGCATTCACCAACTTAAACTTAATTCTTGATGTAACCATATTTTTGTATTTTGAGACTCAGATTGTGTTTGTGATATATGTTTTTCAGTAGAAATAGCGGATAAACGGATGAAGTGAATGTATTTATATTTCTTATTTGCAAGGAGAAATTTTGAAATTGTATTGTGAGAAAATCTATTTGAATTGGAAGTAATCTCGTTGAATATCAAGTTACTAAATTAGCCTATTTTAGTCGAATCTACCTTTGAGAAGACAGAATATTAAGGAAAACTCTTTAAGCTTATATTCATTGCTGCTTGTATTTCCAGAGTAGATAAAAGTTATATTATTTAATAGTATACTCGCTATTTATTTGTAAAATTGATAGCGTTGTGTTAACTTTGTGAAATCTGCAGCCATCTCAGAAAAGAATTATAATTTTATCATAAGTGGATTTATGGAATTTAGTTTTGTACTGACTTCTTTTAAACTTTAAGCCATATATCTATTGTAAACATGCAACACTCCTTGTCATCGCATAATCAATAACTAATAACTCGCAAACCAATCTATTTTATTTGATCCTATTTTCTTTTCGCATAATGGTAAGTAATCTTTAACATTAATCTAAATAATAATAATACATTATGAGACAGTCATTATTTCTGATAGAGTAAAAACGTTCAGGATGTTTACATTGATAATCAGTTCTTTTCTTTAGGGGTAAGTGTAAATTAGTTCATGAGGAAAAAGATATACAGTTGACTCCGCTGATATTTTTGCTAAAAAGGATTTTGTACACACACACACGCGCACACACACACACACACACACACACACACACACACACACACACACACACAGAACTACTACTTTTAGAGGGATAAGCAGCCAAACACCGTAGATGTAGAGATAACTGCTTATAACAATGTTACAGATATTCCTTAAGATGTTACCTTTGCAATATATTTATAACTTTTTCAAATTATAAGAGATGTAACTAGTGGTAAGTTATTCTTTAGCAAATTCATTTCAATAAGTTTATTTTGAATTCTCAATGAAGTAAGTCCAATGTGAGTCCAATGTAGCAATATAACAGAACATTTTATTTAAAAAAATTGCGTAAAGAAAATTGATTTAAAAGAATTAAACTAAAATATTAATTATTGCTTATACATTACATTTGCAACAAAGTAATAAAGTAAATTAAATTTCTACAAAGAATATTTTAATTCGTAAAACATAGAAAACAGAATTAGCCAAACTTTCATGATAAAGAAAATCTAAGGATCAGGAAAACAGTTTTCTATGTCATTGTAATGGAAATAAAAGAGAATCGTCTTTTTATTTTTTTAATTAGAGACAAATTTAAGTACGCATAATAAATATTCAAAGAAATCAGTTTCACTTCTAAATAATGATATTTTATTTGAAAAATAAAGAAGAATTCTTGACCCGATCGACTTTCCCAAGTTTGGCCAATTGAAAAACATCAGATGTTTAGAAACGCTTCTTGATCGGGCCCATTTATATTTGCGGCGATTCCTTTTTATTCCATTACTTGTACGAATAAAAAGGCCAAATTATATTTAAAAACAATATTTATTATAAAACCAATTCTATAAATTTAGTAAATTTTAAAGTTTTCCTTTGATTAGATTTGCTAGCTTCATTGTACTTATACCTAAACAGCAAAATGACTTATTACCATTGTGTGACTTGCCAAGTTTAATTATAAGATTATGAAATATATAATTTTGATTTTCTATTCACAGACTGGTCTCATCAGGACAGATACAGAAGATCTCTTTATCCGACCAATCAATCATCATCTACCTCTTGACCAAAATGGGCAATCCCATTTTATTTATTATTGCAAAAATTCCAAATTAAACGAAAATATAACAGATACACCAGGAAAGTCTAAATCTGGAAATAAAATATTCAAAGGTATGTTGAAAATTACAGACTAAGTTGCGAAGTCAATAAAAAGCATTTTATTGGTCCTAATTGGACTGTAGTTTAAATCCAAGTTTAGTCATTGACGAGATAACTCTAACAAGTTGGATCTGTTATTTCTGTTGAGTGCAGTTAGTTTACAACATTATGTGCCGCTGTCTATACTACCGTTACTTTTCCTCAGCTCACGATGATCTTATATATAATGTTTTTCAAGGAGTACTTTACTAATTGTTCACCCAATACATAATCCAAGAGCCACTCAAAGTAGAACGTTACTGAATGAAGTTGTATAAATATAACAGGAGGTGGAAGAGGAAAAAACGACCAGATCATAAGCATATGTAGGCTGACCCAAGACATGAAAAGGTTAAGATTGTAGTAATCGGAGAAGCATAATCTCAGGAGTTGTTCCACAAAGCAGTGGCTCTCGAGAATAAGTCTTCCGAATGTAACTTCATTTTTTACTAATGAAATACAAAGGGAATGGCGACGATTTGTCCAAGTGTATGCGGCGTGCCGAGTCAGCTCTCATTAGAACATTTGTCATGAAAATAGTGATATAGTAGCGAGAGGCTTGGGACGTTTCATCTGATGGAAAGTGATAGTAGTATGAAAATAATTTATTATCTTCAAGGACACTAGGCGCTATTGAACTCTATCAAGGCTGGAAAGTGAGGACCCCAGATATAATAGTAATACTCCATTTTTGTCTTGATATTGCTTTTGCAAAGATGGAGCTTAACAGGTGGAGTCAAGTACATTTTGAAGCATTACAAAGAACAGACCATTTTCCTAGTATTTTTTAACTATGGATTGTATATATGTGTGTTTCACTTGAGGTCAGGGTAAACAGAGGAAGAGAGACAATCATTCATCATGATAGGTGAAAATTAAGGCTTTCTTTGGTGGTTATGAAATATTACTAGATTGATTTTCAGGTACTGAATCATACGATCCAGTTTTACCCCACATATAAGTTACAGATAGATGAGAGGATAGATTTTGGAGGTGTACCCATACACACTTGTATCATCTGTATCGACATTTATTAAAGATCTGTGTATTTTCTTAGTCAGACTGTTAATATAATGCAGAAATATGGTAGGACAGAGAAAAATGCTTTGGGGATCGCCTGAATTGATCTCATGGTCTTTAGAAGAGTGGTCATTAACAACGACCTTCGCGAACCTACTTGTTAGGAAGGACTCGATAATTGCGAGAAAAGTTTTCAGAGATTCCACTGCTGGAGGGTTTGTGTAGCAATCCCCTTGTCAAAGGGTTTTGATATGTCTTAAGTGATCGTTCTTGTAAGGAATTTATTGTCTAGTGCCTCACTGATTATGTGTGTAATATCAGTTAGGGTATCAGCAGAAGAGCGAAATCCATATTACCCAGGAAGTTGTTTCCGTTGAGGTGATCAACAATCTTGTTGATCATAGACTCAAAGACTTTATACAGGATGGACAAGCTGTTTGTATTGGTGGAGTTAAACTATCTGGATGGATGAAAGAAATCTTTCTAGAATTAATTTTGTGAGACATTATTTTCCTACTTTTCGCACCTCGGCTTTGAAATGCTTGATTTTGCGAAGAGATATGTTATTCTTTTACTCTTCCTTTTCTACTGTTCCCATAAGCTGCCACCGTTTGATAACACCGTGTTTCGTCCATTCAAATGACATGTATAAGAAATATACTTAATAATGAAAATATAGGACCTTCGTTCAAATATGAATGATTGTTAGCCTCGAGCTCTTGTGCCAGCAAATATAACAAAGGGTTTCGAAATGTCAGTAATTGTTCCTTACATTTTCACTGAAGGATTATTCCCATCGACTGTAACAGACGGGACAGAACCTTACTCAGCCAACATCAGAGTATGCCTAGATTATGTCATATCAGAATTCAGTAGTACTGTGACAATGATATTTCTACTTAGTGAGGTAGCTACCATGGCTTTCTGATGATCCCTGTTTAATGACAGTTTTTGACAAAGAAGGATGGGTGTCCTGATGTTCCAGAGCAGTTAAGACAGCAGGATTATGAAAATTAAGTTTACAGTTTAGAATATTTCTAGATATACTCCCTGTCATCCTGTTCTTGGTCAACCATCAGTTTTATTAAACGTTTTGTGTGCAAGGAAATAAATATTTTGCTGATCTGAAAATATTCGCAGAAACAAAGAGTTACAACACATATAATGCCGGCAGTATTTTAAATGCTTTATTCAATGCTGTGGTATTGTCTGCAGCTTTATATCACATTCACAATGGGATTATCACATTATTATGTGTTTTAATCGTTATGAAAAGTAAAATTAATTTCTTTTGTAATTTTCGATTTTTATCGTGATTACCTTGATGAACTGCTTTGGTACGATAAATATGATATTTTTGTAGTGTAAAATTTTATCGCTTTATATTTTGTTTAGTAAATTTTACACATACGTTGTAAGCTATTCATGAAGATAATGATGTAAGTGAGATGAACATTGTAAAATGAATATTATTTACATTATTCGGACTATTGTCCTCATCTTTGTCGCCATATTTATCACAACGTTTCGGCCGTTGTACGCTCCGGCCTTCTTCAGGTGGTTGGAATGCCTCATCTCAGAAATATAGACAGACTCTGTAAAATGAATATTTCTAGAGATAGTCTCATTTACACATGTATATATATATATAAAGAGTATTTTCCCCAAACTTCTAAACTTTTTACTGCAGATTTGATAGTTAGATTATGTATTTTTATGTATTCCACAGATTCTTCATTTATTGTGAATACATAATTGAAATTCAACATTTAGGAAACAGGCATCACGCCGTTGCATAAAATAGGATTTCATGATATACCTATACACGTACATAAAAAGTATTTTATCAGAGTTTTTCTTACTAGCAAATATTAATAGGAGTCACATATTCTTCCAGTTGATTGAATTTTCTCCATTTCTACATGTCTTGAAGACAGCTTTCAAACAAAAGATGGGGATAACTTCGTATTTTGAATTTGTATTTTTTATCCTGTCTTCCAAGACATGAGTTCCCAGACTTGAATGATATTTAACCCATAGCGATCGGAAAATGGTCATGCTTTATCCAGTGTGAAGTGAAGGAAACAAACTCGATCAGAATTTGAACCTGGTTCGCCTTTTCCCCGCCGATAACCATTGCACTACCAGCATATACATTAAGTATATCCTGCTTAGAATGAAAAGACAATCCAGTCTATTTCAGAACGCCTCATCTCGTAGTTAATATCGATGGATTTATATATTAGTGGCTTACGTTGTAAACTTGAATTTAAATAAGAAGGAACAAATATTTCGTTTTCACTTGTATTCTAATGTTAATAAAGCAAAAGAAAGACCAAGAAAATAGAAAATGAAATTTATTTAGACTTTTATATGCTTAAAGAGAATTCTTAAAAAATAGTTAAAACGATAGATAACAAGAACTATTTTCTTGGTATTTCTTTTATAATTTCTACTTTTAATTTCAAGTGGCATTTACCAGGAGTAACTCAGTTTTCAAATATTCATACTTTTTCCTGGTCCTTTTTTTGTGTTTGCAGGAGCCGAAAGACTTAAAAAAAAAAAAGTTCATAAAGAACAAATGTTGTACCGCACACGACGTGATATACCTTCCAAATATTTTCTGGAGGTCCTCTTGGTCACTGACAACACAATTATTAATTTCCATGGCAAAGATAATGTGCAACAATACTTATTGGCTATGATCAATATCGTGAGTAAAACTATTAAATTATTTTTACTGCAATTAAATGTTCTTTAAAAAAGTTTGAATGTTCAGGAAAAACAGATTGATATTTTGCATATGCGCAGAACTCCTTCATTCTTTCCATTCTTAGACAAAACAAAATTTATAACCAACCTCAATAAATCAAGAGAAAAAATAATTTCAGAACGTGCTACAATGACTGCATTACAATTACTTAATTTTTGAAGCATAATTTGGACCTCGGGGCATGATCTGTCCATTGGATTCCATCGTGTAAAATGTACAAGAAACTATATGTATATATTAGATTAAGCTGTATTCAGTATGTTAAATTTCTGGGAAGTGTGTCGTCACTCTTTAGTTAACATTACTGCCTATGGTTACTCAACATCGGTAAAATCCCAAAGCAGCTAACCGAATGAAAAACATAATATAAAATTTAATGACAGTGTGAAAATGTCCTTAGAGTGAAACTGTTGACAGACCAATTGGAAGAGTTGGTACTGGGTCAGGTATTGTGGAGGAAGGCGGTTTTAAGATGGCAGAGTGGAATTCAAAATTGTGTGATGATATGAATAGGCATTCGTGAAAGTGGGGAATTAAAGATCTGCATAAAACTATGAGTACTCTTCAATAATTAACATGCAATAAGTGCAGCAGAGATTGCCTTAGAAATGCAAGACTAAATATCTTCAAACGAGTCACAATCATCGAGTATCAACTGTATACTATTTTTGTGGGATGTTGCTATATATAATGGATGCGGCAGTGTGTGTGAAAGTGTTGGTGGGTTGAAGCGTTACTCACCAATCTACACTGATATTATCCCTGTTGCTATAGGCATATGTGCATGTAATATTTGTGCCAGAGAGCGTACGTCCCTGATTCGGACTCAAAAGCCACATTTATGCTGGGTTCTGTTGAAGTCTGTAGAAGTTGTTTTGATATTAAGTGATTGCGATTCTCGAAAATGAGAAAGCAGCCATCATGTATGTATGTACGTATGTATGTACGTATGTATGTACCAGATGATGTAGGTACAACCTATCATACAGTTGTTAAAATTATTGCCGACATCCGAATTTAAAATTTTGTAAATATATATAATTTTGCGTGATTGTTTCTACATATCTGTGGCACTTTGTGATTGCTTTTACTATCAATATCAAAGCAATCACAAATACAATATCGATAGAAAGGTGGGAGGAAATATTAAAAAGAAATAACCTCAACTCTAATTTTCTCAGGACTTCCTTTGAACTTACTACTAAAACTTAAATATTAGAATATGATTCAGGCCAGTATTTGTCCTTCTACTTATGTGTGTGCTGTATATTGTTGAATAACGCAGCTAAAATATGAAGTTAATCCAAATAGAAAGTGAAAGTAGGAGGTATTTATAAGGAATAGTGACATGCAACAATAGTAACAACAAAAATATGAACTTGGTAAACATTCTCCCTGGGTGAAGTTTCAAACAATATTCATTTCTGTTGACATGTAAAAAAGTTCCATTTCTAAAACCTCGCTTGCATAATGCTTTCACTATTCAACCAGCATAGACATACATAAATGAATGCATTTCAAATAAATCAAGCTGACCATACTTAAGTGAAGTAAATACTATTATTAGATGAATTGTATTTCCTGTTACTGGTTGAGGTTGCTTGTATGCGAGTACTAATGTTCTTATTTTCATTTGTGTCACTTCGCCCATGTCGTCAATTTCCATGGCCCTATATACACTTCTATGTTTTGTACATTTACGTTTAGAAAAATATTCTTTTTCTAAAAATGTGTGAGTGGGCATAATTTATGCACTTATACATTTATATATTTATATTTTCATATGCGTCTATTAACATATACGTTGAAATGATGGAATGGATTCTCAAAATCTGAACAAATGACCAAAGATCAGAATATTTTAGGAAATACCATTTTGATCAGGACGATAACTTTTCTCTACACTATATATATATATATATATATATATATATATATATATATATATATACTAACGTCCCAAAAGCGATGGGGTAACTTTATATAGAGGTAATGGTAAGTTTTACCACCGTACCTGGACATATCAGTGGTTACGAGAATGGGGCATTCTATTTCTGAAATTTAGTAGAATTTAACATCCTTCAATCTAAGGTGTCGAATGTGTACAGGGATACCTGATAGAAGGTATTGTCGCTCACCACGACTAGCGCAGTGACCAACTATGGGACCTGAATGATCGTGACCAGAGACATTTTGCTAGTATTCTGGGATAACACTTAAATCACATCTACATTCAAAGGAAGAATTATCAAATGTATATACAATAAGTCACTTTAGTCTTCTTTAGCTTCCATGGGCAATCCGAGCAGAAACCCTACCAGGGAGCCACTATTAACACCACAGCACTTCAGCTCCGATCATGACGTCACTAATTATACACTTGAGTAATGGTAACCCTGATGAGTCACGAATCAAGCTTTTTTTTTATGGATGATGATAGTGTTAGAGTATAGTTGAAACTCCATAAGTCTATGGACAACAGTTGTCAACAAAGCACTGTACCAGTTAGTCATGTTTCTATAATGATGTATTCCTGTGACATGTTAGGGGTAGCTGGTGCATCTAAATACGTCAATGGACAGCGACCGTTATACTGCACCGCAATCATGTATCTTAACAACAATTCTAATAGTGTTATTCGGCTCAGTTTGCTTAGTTTTGGTTTGAAGAATATTCGTCCGACATGAAACCAATCTTTCAATTATGAAACGTAGTAGAGAGGTCTATTCGTACACAAGATCCTGCAGCTACGAATTTCAGGGTGCTATGGGGATCTTTGTTCGAGTGTAAACATTGAATAGCTGCTTTTAACTCAATCTATAATTAAACATTTTTTAATGGTGATCAAGAATGATATCGCCAAGTTCTTACGCTTTATGAATTTAAGAAAACTAAAATATCGATTGATACTCCAATTTATGTAAGATTATTATAATTATTAAAATTATTAGGAACTTAGATACTTCAGTAATGTACGCTTTCAGTAACCTTATGCTACAAAAACTAAACAAAATAAAAGCAAATATGTGCATTCTTCAACAAAATATAAATAGTGAAGATTGATTTATTTTTACGGCTTATCAACCCTTTGTGGCTATTAAAAGACGGAACATTTTATATTGTAAGAATATTTTTTTACGAACGCATTAACAATTTAAAAAAAAAAATTTAAATAAAAAATATTCTTAACAATAATTTTACTAGATACACTCCCTACTATTTAACCCATAGCTTGTAGAGGAGATGCATTCATGCCTTTTTCAAGGATGTTTGCGGGTAGTTTAATGTAATCGAACTCGACTGGAATTCAAACTCGGCATTCTGATATCTTAATCAGAGCTGTAATAGCCGAACATCCAAAATTATACTCCTACATAAATCATACATCTTTATCAAGTTCAGAGAACAGTTCTGTTCATATAAAAAAATTCAAACAAAGAAAAGAAACATGAAAAGAAAAATCGCTAATGTTTTTTCAACTGGTGTCAATAAGATATTGAAAACGACAACAATAGGCATCTTGCCTATTTTTTAATATTTTCATGGAATATTTTTATTAAGAATTCACTGACATGACGAAATCGCTGTGGCTATTGTTATAGCCTAAATATTGGTAGGTAGAAAGTATCTATTCTAAAGCAGCGCTTTAAAATAGATACGTAAATTCAGTGCAGAGGTAATGAGAAAGCAATTTTATTAGGCAATGCTTGATTTTAATTATTATCGCAGCCTTGGTAAGTTCTTTTTATAAATTTACTCTGATTTAACGAGTGCTGAAATGGACGTCGTAAGATTCAGAATAAACCGCATACTTACGCAGTATGACTGAATGATTGCCCAGAGAAAAACCTTTCTAGTAGTTCATGTCTTGATAATGTTTATGATAAGATACAACACTAGCAATATGCCAATCAATGATGTCTTTTTTCGGCTAATAATGGTTAATCTCTCCTTTCCTTTTCACATAAATGTAAGTTGTTTGTAATACTAAAATTTTCTTTTGGTGATAAGTAGTAGAAACTAAAAAGAAACTTGCTTCAGTTGATGATATAAGGTTAACAGATTCTAGAACTAATGACGAGATTGGTGTCGTGGTGCGGTAGAATAGAAGAGAAAAAACACATGGCATGTTGTAGATGAAAGAGGTGATGTATTTCATTAGGGAACGACTGGGTGGGGATTTAGTGAAGGATAGTTGGCAGAGTGATGACGAAGCGACCACAGTGGTGAAGGAAGCATCACTGTATTATTTTTGCTGCTGACTTCAGCGCCTTCTAAATGCTGACTTGGCAGTCGCATTCCTCTCATGTGACTTGCTTATACATTATTGCCTGCTTAGTTGTCGTTTGTTCACCACATCCGGCAACGTCACTTTCCAAAGTTTTTGCTTTTCCTACCCTGCATCAACAACTAGATTAATCAGTTAAAATAAACTTTTTACTTTCTATGAAGTTTTGCGCAAGCATACATAAAAAAGACAAACATTGATTCTTTCAGATTATTTTCCTCGCTCTAGTTGCTGATGTAATCTCCAGAGGCAGACGAAAATTGAAACAGGTTGAACCTTTGTGACAAAAACAACAAAGACAAGTAAATGCTTACACAAAGAATTATATCAATGAAATTGTGTACAGAAGTTTTCAAATTTCAGTTACACACATATGCATGCACGCAGACACAAAAGAAAACTTGCTCTCAGTCACACATATAGACTCGTGTAAAAATAAGCTAGAGGAATTGGATACGTTTTTTTAATCACGACCGCCTCTGAAAATTAATAATGATCTCATAATTGAGTAATTTGTTTCCTTTTCTCTTTATTTATTCTATCACTTTTTTTGACTTTTCTATCACGTCAAGTAAAAAATACACAAAATACATAAATAGTATTATTATTTATTGAGAGTTTGAAGGAGACATACACGTTATTTACTTTCCCTTGCATTTCATATATCCCGGATTTCTCTCACAATTTCTCAGTAATGAAATCAGGTACTTAAAAACATTAACATATGTTTCTTTCTTAGTAGGTGCGTGATACCTGTGAATGTATGGATTATTGATACATTAAAAGTGGTGCGTTATCTTAGAGAATATGACTGTATGCTAATTGAACAGACATGCAATAATAATCATCCGAAAGCAAATGATTTCACATGGTTTAATAATGTTTATGTCAGTAGTCATAAAGTTGTCTATCGTTGGTATGTGCATACATACCTTGTTGCATCTTAGAAATAGATTATGCATTTATACATTTCTAACTACTACATCTACATGTATATATATATATATATATATATATATATGTGTGTGTGTGTGTGTGTGTGTGTGTGTGTGTGTGCAATAAAAAGACATTGTTTTCCATTTTATCATTCTGCTGTACAACATTTTGGTATATAGAAATTTATAAATCTTATTCTCCTACATTCACACACACACACACGTGTGTGTGTGTGTGTGTGTAGATGCCAATAACATTGTTTATTTCATTGACTTTCATTATTATCTCATTCTCTGTATCATAAATTCTCATTTCATCCTCGTAACACTTAAAGAATCATATTTTTTTTTCACTCTATTTGCAGTTTTAATTTTTTGCTTGAAAATTTCCTTTTTTTTTGTTTCACATTTTCTTTTTTTTCTTTATTTTGGTCTTAATTTCATTCATTTCTTTATTTTTCATTTCAATATTATTTATTTTATTTTCCCTTTCTTTTCCCATAAATCTTACATGCTCATTTAAAAAATATATATTTGTGCTTGTCTGATTTTGTAATTGCTAAATTTTGTTTCAACTTACAACGTATTTTTTATTTTTATTTTATCTTTCTTTTATTGTTTTTTTCCTCTTTAGTAATTTTTAGTCGGCGTTTTAATCATATTTTCCATTTTGAATTTCGGTCCAAGTTGTAAATTTTTATCAATTTTTTCAAATTCTTTTATGAGTCTGTTTTTCCGTCTCATTTTCTTGCCTTTTCTAAATTTTCCTATATCCTTTTTATGCTCTTTGTTTATTAATTCTTATGTTTATTTTTTTTAGTTCAGATTTTATGACTTCTCATTTACATTTGACGATTTGTGTTTGCAATACTGTTCCACTTTTTTGCTTTTCTTTTTATTAGATGCCACCATTTATTCGCTAAAAAATAGCATACCATAATGTAAAAATGCGCCAAACTTAATAAAAACATAGTTTTATAATCAATTGTTATTATTCAGGATTTTTTTATTATTAAATTATATTTACTATCTCTATCTATAAAAGGCACTATCTATAAAAGGCACGATGTATGTGTGTGTGTGTGTGTGTGTGTGTGTGTAACGAATGCACGGCCACAATTTTCAACGGATTTGCACCAAAGTTTACATGCACATGCTCCAAGTTAGTGGAAAGGCCAAGACCGACTTTGCATTTCCCAACTCCCATCGATAGTAGAAATAATCGATTTTTTCATGCTTCTACGGCAGTTTTCATGTAGTTTGCGGCCATTTTCTACTGGCCAGAGTGAGAGCCTATAGCTGGCTGCCACGAATAGGCAGGAAGATTCTATTGGCCAACAGCTGACTAACACGAATGTTAGTCAGCTGTTGGCATGCATGCTAGCATGCAACAAAAAAAAATCGAGAGCTACATTCATCACAAGTGGGAAAAATTAAAATCTGCATGGCACTTTACTCTAATTGACTCATTCGCTTGCTTAAACTCAACGTTGATTCTGATTCCGCAGAACTGGGTTGGGTGTGAAAAAGTATTTGTTGCTAACATTCTTTTTTCATTCGGTTCTTCCAGTTACAAGTCCTTTTTTAAAGCTGATCATTTTGTGTTCATTTTGTTTAGTTCTTTTTTCGTAACAGATTTAATGTTTAGTTTAGTGTGAGATAGGCAAGAAGTAAGGCATGTATCAACATCAGAACGGCAAAGGACACTCCTTTAAAGGCAAGGAAGGGCAAAAATATTCTAAGTCAAGTGATAGCGATTGCTGTATGAGTCATACGATCAAGCACGGGCAACGCCGGGCCATACTGCTAGTATTTACTATATATAATACGTTAGAAATATTGATAAATAATCGTGTGTGTGTGTGTGTGTGTGTGTGTGTGCGTGCGTGCGTGCGTGCGTGCGTGCGTGCGTGTGTGAAAAAAAGTTCATTTGTTAATTCTTGCAAAAATCAAATAATTTACAGGACTTATTCACAAACGAAGTATTTTTTTTTTTTAGAAAATCTTGGTAAAAATCAACTTATTTAATTTTGTGAAATTTTATAAAAGTTAAAAGCAGAAATCTTTTTTCTTTATTCGAACGTAAGACCATTTGTCTATATATATATATATATATATATATATATATATATATATATATATTATTCGAACGTAAGACCTTTTGTCTAAGTTTTTTTTTATTCGAACGTAAGACTTTTTGTCTATTTTTTTTTTATTATTCGAACGTAAGGCCTTTTGTCTATTTTTTTTTCGAATGTCAGACTAATTATTTATTTTTCTTTTCTTTTTTTTTTTTAAATTTATACGAACATTTCGCATTTTTGTATATTTTAAATCGGAATCATAGCGCGCACATTGTGTATTTATAGTGTTTTTCCTCTTGATCATTGCCATATATCGTTTGTATATATCATTTTTATTTTATTAGTTTGTCATCGGTTTTTAGCGATACATATATAGAAACATAATTTAAAAACTATTTTTTTATTCGAACGTAGGACCTTTGTCTAATTTATTTCTTTAAATTTATACGAACATTTCCCATTTCTGTATATTATTTGTATTAAGAAACAGGCTAAACGATAAAATGTGATAATAGCGTTGAGTTCAAGTATCCCCGCCAAAGAAAAGAAAAAAGTACATAAAAAAAAGAAAAACTGTATATATATAAACCTTACAATACTTAAAGAAATAGGGTAAAATTTAGGAAAATTAAGATTACCTCCTCAGTTATCCATCGAAACTGCAAACCTCCGAAATAAGAAAAGAAGCCAGTCCCCACAGCAGGCCATTTAAAAATTAGTCCGCGCAGCAGATTGGTTGTTACAAACATCCAATCGGATGCGCGGAATATGTGGTCTTTCTTCCTCTTATTCTTTAAAAAGGCCAGAGTAGCTGTTGGCGTTTAATCAAAAGGGGGAATCAGGGGTTGATCTCCCCTGATTGAGTCGATTTGGTGATGGGGAGTATGATGTTGAAAAACCCGAAACTCCCTGATGAACCAAGTCAAAACATCACTGACGACCCCCTTGCGCGCCTACTTAAAAGCGTATTTTCGAATTTGGAGAATTAAATCATCAATTTCTTTTTGTAAAATAGGACCTCCCCAGTAATCTGCTCTGAATCGTAAAATAAAGAATGCTAAGACATTATTTAATTAGAAAGTCTTTTAATTGCTTTTATGGGCACTATTATCTAAAGAAAAGAAATCGATGAATAATTAATTTTTACAGGAATTGTTTTCATTTTTAAAGGATTTTAATTAGAATAATTTATAAAGTTTTAAATCTTATAAATTTCTGTATTACTTTTCCCGTTTTTGTTTGATATTGTTATTCAATAAAAACTATATTTACTAATCACAGAATGGAAAAGCTTAGTACAATTCATCGACTGCCAATATTTTAAAAAGAATTTTGAATTTTTTTGTGTGTGTATAAACGTACTGATTTTTGGTAAAATGGACGTCCATATACAACATTAAAAGAAAATAAGAGCGATAACTATAGTAAATTTAAGGCTAAAATACGTAAGATTCAATATAACATTAGATTACAAAGAATATTTTTAATTTTTAACATTACATGGTAGTTACAAATTATATTAAAAAGGTTAAGGTTATATTCCTCAGTAAATCTTATAGATATATCCACTGTAGAAAATATCAAGCTGTCAACACCTTAAATAAACAGCGACTGTGTATTTCTGCGATATTTAAAACTTAAAGTAATATTTGTTTCAAATCAAATTAATTCAACTTTAAATCAGCTTATATCAGTTATATTTTATTTCTATTTTTTGAAAGATTTTTAATAAAGAGAATTACATCGAGATGAAAGACGGCTAAAAATGGCGCTAAAATCAGCAATTTTAGCAATTTCAAAACGAAAACTTCCAGTCAATTTAAATAAAAGTTTTAAAATACAGCAAAGAATGTTGCTTATTGGAAGTATTAATTTTAATCTGTTAGCTTGAAATTAAAACTAAAATAAAAGCTTCAAGAAAGAATTTTCATTTAAAAAAAATTCATTTCAAACTTTAGGTATCGCGTTTCTGTGGTGGCACCTATTATTAAGCTTCTAATTTTTCATAACTTTAAATTCTCTCTCTTTCTTTCTCTCTCTTGATTCATTCTGATATTTTATTTTACTTTTTTATTGCTTTCTATTCGGGTATATCAATAAAAAATAGCGGATTCTGTAATCAAAAGCATTCACCTGATGTTTCGATGCATTACAATTGTTTGTTGACATTTAGTATTTGGCTTTTCAACAACCTTTCTTTTTCTTTATCATGCCGTTTTTCACTTTATTTCCTTTTTCGCTTCTTACTGCCTGAGTAGTTTAACTCAAACACTAGGCAAGAGTTTGAATTCAAGCCTTATATCTTTACCTCTTTGGCGTTCGCTAGTGCTACTTTTAATAATTTACTTTTTCATAGTTTCTTCTGAACACAGTTTTTTTTTAAACATTTAAGTCTCTGGTTAGGTGCTTATAACAGTCTTTCTAGAAAATTAATAAAAAGTGTAGTAATTCGAACTTGTTCCATTGATTCTGTTTTTGCGTCCTCTTCAAACTCCTGCTTTCTGTCTCATCTATATACTGTATTTTATCAATGTTTACCTTATTTATTTTTTGTAAATTACTTTTACTTTTTCACTCATAAATTTTTAAATATTCTGTTCCCTCTTTTTCAGATGAATGCTGTCTACCAGCATCCTTCTCTTGGAATAAAGATTGAAGTGGTTCTTAAACGCGTCGTTATTCTCGACGAGAGAGATGTAAGTCGATA